AAATTTATTCTGAAAAGAACTTCCTCAGAGACTGAATTCTGAAAAGCACTTACCTCATAAATTTATTCTGAAAAGCATTTCCCTCAGAGATTTAATCTGACAAGCATTTCCTTCAGAGATTAAATTCTAAAAAAACAGTCCCTTCGAAGACTCATTCCAATACCTTTTCTAGTTGAAGTCAGGCGTAGACATCTTCTGGCTCAGATTAAATCGAGTGTAGGTTTATTCTGATATTCCTTCGAAAAAGTCGGGCGTAGACTCCTTCCAACATCTTCTTCCAGTTGAAGTTAGGTGTAGACATCTTCTGGCTCAGATTAAATCGAGCCTATATTTATTCTGATACTCCTTCAGAAAATTCGAGTGTAGACTCTTTCCAACACCTTTTCTAATTGAAGTTGGGTGTAGACATCTTCTAACGCATCATTCAGATGAAATCAAGCGTAGATTCCATTTGAATCTATTTTGGAAAAGTCGGGCGTAGACTCATTCCAATACTTCTTCCAATTGAAGTCAGGCGTAGACATCTTCTGGTTCAGGTTAAATCGAGCTTAGGTTTATTCTGATTATCCTTTTGGACAAAGTCGGGCATAGACTCACTCCAAATACATCTTCTAAGATAAAGTCAGGCGTAAACTTAGTCTAATTTCTATCAACGGTTACTTTGGATGGCTCTCCGTCTCTGATGACTCTCCATCACCTCTCCAAATGGCATCTTTAAGCCGATTCCTGGTATAATCAACCAACAGTCTTACTTCGTGCACAGGCGAGTGCAAATTTCTGGGCACCTAAGTGTTCAATCATCTTCCACCTTCAAGTCGCGAATGGTGGACATTCCAATCTAACTCTTCAGGTTTAAGAAGATTTAACATGGGCAGCTGTTGTACCCCAAAATTTTCCCTCCCATTTTCTTCAAGGCATTCTTCTAAAGTTCTCAAATGCTCAAGGATTCTCAAGAGTTGATCAGACAAATTCTTCTCCTAAGCAATGGGTCCATAATTAGGGTTTCGTCTTGCATAAGGAAGAATGGGTTTCAAAGGTCTCAAATGGATTTCATGGTTTATCATAGGTCTTCAATAGTGCTCATGTCAAGTTTCAAGTTTTACATCACAAGTTTGCTCAGTCAATGGCTCAGATGACTAATAGTCAACTATATTGGGTAAAAAGTCAACCATGGTCAACATATAGTCAAACTTCAAGTTTTTTGGTCAACATCAACAATTTGAAGTAATATTCATCTTTTGATCAAAGGTTGGTCATGATTCCTCACGGAAAGCCCTCAAATCATCAAAAGTCAAAAGTTGTCAAATTAGGGTTTCCTTAGGAGAAGTCAATTGAACTTTGACCAAGCATAACTTTCACATGCTTCATCAAATTTTCCCTAACTAAAACCTATTTTGAAGGAAATTCAATTATCTACGACCTTGTATTTGTATGCTCAAGTCCAAAAAGTGCTTCATTTGAAATATATGAGCTCATACATTATAGGGCATTTCAAAAGTCAACAAAAATACACTTTGTCAAGGCAACTTACATCAAGATAAACTCTCCAAATGAAAAATTTATCAAAAGAGAAACTGAATAGGACATCTTGAGCTTTCCAAAAAGACAAAGATCATCTTCAAAAGATGAAAATTGAGAGAGTTATGACCACTAAAAATTGGGAAATTTTGGTAAAATGTATGAAATGCAAAGTGAGCAAACTTGAAATTCTAGACTAATGGGCCTAACTTTTGACGTTCAAACATGTTCACAATATGTTAGAAGACATTTAAATCCATTCATATATTTTTTATGATTTTTATTTCTTGTATTTGAATTTTTATTCATTTAAATACAAGTAAATCAAATAAAATATAAAATCATTGGGCCAAGGCGCATGGGCTTTTGATTTCAATCACGTGGAGGCTCAAGAACACATGACAAACATGCCAAAACCGTGAAAACATGTTGTGAACAAGAATATTCAAGTTTGGAATGTTTTTTAACAATTTTGGAAAGATTTCAATGTGTTTTTTTGCAATGAATTATGACATGATGGTACAAGATTCTTGTCTTGTTCTTGTTCCATTTCATTCCTCTATAAGTACATGCAATACTCAAGTGCAAAGGACACACAAAACGCTGCCTCAAGAACCACTTCAAAAATCTCTCAAAATTCTCAAGAAAAGTGCAAATTCGTATAACATGATCCAACCACTCTCAAGTCAAATGAAGTATCCAAACCTCTTCCTGAAGTCCTCAGGAACACATCTAACCCAAGAACCGAAAGATTTAGTTCCTGGAACTCGTGCTTCAAACTCCATCGATTTGTGTTTTTTTCTTTGAATTCAATCTTAAATTCCATGCATTACTAATGTGTTTGATGAGATCAAATGTATTCAGGATATAATTTGGGACGAGTTTGACGTATCACATGCAAGCTTTGGTGCATGAATCTCTATATGCCATTTTTAAGGCATAGAAACGCATTTGCTTCAGATCTCTCTTTACAGGCACATTCAAGAGAAAAGAACCCCACCATCAGATTTGTTTCCAACTGTTCAATTTTCTTGTTTTTATTATTTTTGCTTTTGTTTAATTAATTTAATTACTTTTTTTTAATTAAAATCAAAGACCATAAAAAAATCATAAAAAATAATTAAAAATTAGATTTATATTTTTTAATTAATTTTATTTTTGACCAACAAAAAATTGTTTTATTAAATTAAATTTGTTTTTATTTCATAATTAACTTGCAAATTACTTAGAATTAGAGTTAATTATTATCATCCCTTTAATTATTTTTCATAAATAAAAACATCAAAAAATATTTTTCTAACACTTAAAAATTTTCTTTAGGTTTTAAATACCTTCTTCTAGTTTCTTTTATCTTTGCTATTTAAATTCTAGAAAAAAATGTATAGGTCACACGATTGATTTTGTAATAGCTTAGTTTATTTTCCCGCATTTTTCCTTATTATGTAACTGCTCATGGGATATAATAGCCTAGGTTTATTTCCCCGCACTTTACTTTCTGTACCTATGTATGTATATATGTCTGTATATATAAATGTATAGTAATTAGGCATGTATAGAAGATTTAAAATCAACCGCTAGATAACCCTAATCAAGACAAATTAACTGAAAACAAATCACTTTTCACACACGCACCTCTAAGATAATCTCATTTGTTTCCTTCAGATAAAACAGTCATGTCCCTCGAACGTAGGGATACCATTAGAAAAGACCCTCGATTACAAATCATCATAAAGATCATAGTCCCTCAATGACCCTTCGATGCTGCCTTCGGTAAATGATCTTGTCCCTTGATGTTACCTACGAATACATGATGATAGTCTCTTTGAATTTCTAAAGGTATCCCTATATGTTGCCTTTATGATTGTACGATGACCTACGCATGTCCCTCAAGCATCCAACTATAGGGCTTCCTACTAACTAATGGTAGGATAACACTATTGTTGTACCCCAATTTTTGACCTAAGATCCCATTTTTATTTTTGCATTTTTAAAGATAAGTCAAGGTCACGAAATACAGCCGGTTTTAATCTCTCACCTTCAAGCATTGACTATGTGAAGGTTGTCAAGTGTTTTGAACATTTTTAACCTATGTATCACTAATTTCTAATCCATACAAAGGTGTATGTTCATGTTTTCTTTTGTTTCATGTGCAGAGACAGGTCTGAATCAAGAGCATCAGGTGTCGCGCCTCAATTAAAGTTTTGAGTCTCCCAAGCCCGAAGTACGGTTGATTGTGGATTCTTGAAGACTGATTCATCAAGGCACAACTGTTGCACCCTAAATTTCGCCCTAATTTTTCAGTCGCACATTCATACCATATTTTGTCATTTGGTCACAATCATTAGTAAATACCTTCATTCATCATATTTTGCATCATTAGTCGTATTTAAGTTGACCAGAAAAAGTCAGTTTAAATCAAAGTTTGCATTGTCTTTCAGTTGTAAAATACCTGACATTTCACTTCATGCATTTTTATCTCTTTACTCGTTTCATGCATTGCTCCAAGTTGTTTATATGTTGATAATAAAAATATTTCGGTTTTATAGACAGACTGTTAAAAGCGATTCGACACTATGCGGGAAATTAGCGAGAAAAATATTTCAAGTATTCACCCTTTACCAATCATTTTATGAATCTGCGTTTCGTGTAGATTATGACGGCATGCTCGCTTTATTTTTTCGATACAATTTGAAGTCTCGTTTTTAACCGTAAACATCTGTTTTAGCCCGATATTTTTATTATCATTTTATTTTGATTTCGACTTTTTGAATATTTTTTATTTAATCTTTGTGACATGTAGTTTATTTTAATGTGTTCATATTAATTTTTCGGATAAATTTTCTTCCGTTTTTTTATTGTTTTTAGTCATTTTGGGTCTTTATTTTTATTCAGAAACGATTCAAAAAAATTATTTTAAATGGAGTTAATTTTAATATTTTTAGTCTTTTTGGTTATTTTTATCATTTAAGGGCTATTTGGTCACAAAAAATAGTATTTACACTGTGCTTGATTCTTATTGGCAGTTAGCAAAAATAACGGATAGATGCAGATTTAATAATTTTGGACGGATTGGATTAAACCTGAAAACAATATCAAAGCCTTGAAATTCTTCACATCATATTCACTCGTCATTGAATTTAAAACCATCATCATTCATCACTCTAAACTAAATTTCCACACACACACAACCAAAAACACCTTACAAATGCATCCAACGAGACATTCACACCAAAATCCCATTCAAACAACCTCAAAACATGTACCTTAATTTCAACTTTCTATTTTCAACTCTTCTCATCTTCACCACCGTCGACACCGCCGTCAACCCCGACACCACTCTCTCCGCTTCCAATACCAACCAATCATGGTCCTCCCCGTCTTCCCTTTTCTCCCTCCGCTTCCTCCCCGTCTTCCCTTTTCTCCCTCCCTTAACCTCCTCGTCGAACAACCCACCAGCCACCATCTATCTGCGTTCGCGATGTATGGCAGGTTTGGCTCCGGAAGGTTCGCAATTTGATACGAAGCAGTATGACACTAAGATGAATGAATTGCTTTCCACTGATGGACAAGAACTCATCACCACTTATGATGAAGTCTTTGATACTTTTGATCATATGGGATTGCAAGAAAATCTCCTGAGAGGCATATATGCTTATGGTTTTGAGAAGCCTTCTGCAATCCAGCAAAGGGGAATTGTTCCTTTCTGCAAAGGTCTAGATGTGATTCAGCAGGCTCCGTCTGGAACTGGAAAGACTGCAACCTTTTGTTCTGAAATTTCGCAACAGCTTGATTATGGTTTGGTTCAGTGCCAGGCTTTGGTTTTGGCACCAACAAGGGAACTTGCACAGCAGATTGAGAAGGTTATGAGAGCTCTTGGTGATTACCTTGGTGTTAAAGTTCATGCTTGTGTTGGTGGCACTAGCGTTCGTGAGGATCAACGTATTCTACAAACTGGTGTCCATACTGTTGTTGGCACTCCTGGACGTGTGTTTGACATGCTGCGAAGACAGTCTCTTCGGTCCGACAGCATTAAAATGTTTGTTTTGGATGAGGCTGATGAGATGCTTTCTCGTGGTTTCAAGGACCAGATCTATGATATCTTCCAGCTGCTGCCACCTAAAATTCAGGTTGGAGTGTTCTCTGCTACAATGCCACCAGAAGCCTTGGAGATCACCAGGAAGTTCATGAATAAGCCAATGAGAATTCTGGTAAAGCGTGATGAATTGACCCTTGAGGGTAATAAGCAGTTTTATGTGAATGTTAACAAGGAAGAATGGAAACTAGAGACATTATGTGACCTTTATGAGACTCTGGCCATCACTCAGAGTATCATTTTTGTCAACACAAGGCGCAAGGTGGACTGGCTCACTGACAAGATGCGAGGCAGGGACCATACAGTCTCAGCCACCCATGGAGACATGGACCAAAACACTCGTGATATCATCATGCGTGAATTCCGCTCTGGTTCTTCCAGAATTCTCATTACCACCGACCTCTTGGCTCGTGGTATTGATGTTCAGCAAGTGTCTTTGGTGATAAACTATGATCTTCCTACCCAACCGAAAACCATCAACCCAACCTCTATCAGTTCCGCTTCAAACCAATCGGTCCGCACACTAACTGTCACAAACTTCCATTTCAGAACTTCCTATGTCTCCATAACGGCTCCTCTCGCCAATAACCAACCTCACACTTCTTTAATTCCAACCGCGACTCACCCACTCTGTGACCCTTCAAACTTCCTCTCCCTTCATCCACAAACCCATTCTTCTATCACCTCACTATCACCACCCATATCCACCACCACTCACATCATAGAAACCGATGTCGACCACCGTTTCTGTCAGCCGGCAAACAACCGCCATCGCTAACTCCCTTCCGCCACTAACTGAACCTCCAATCGCGCCCTGCAACCACATAACTGAATCTGCGCCAAAAGAAGCTCTGACAATCATCGACGGCATGGATCTAATTTCGTATGTTATCTGCTAATTGACTTCTAATTTGATTTTTTTTGTTGTTGTTTAATGATGTTCAGAAAAGAGGGACAAAGGGCGAATGTGAAAGGGAGATTGTAGATTGCAAATGATTTCAATTCACACTCACTGTATGTTTATATTACTGTATAGTTTTTATCATTGTTTTTATTTCCACTTGTCACTAATTGATTGGTTGGAGATAAATGTTGAAAAAAAATTCTTTTTATCTTATTTAGCATTCTCAAAATCATTTAGCGTTGTTTGGATTTTTTGTTTTGTTTTATCTTATTACTTTTATTTATTTAATTTAGTTTTATTAGATTTTTATTTATTGAATTAGTTAATTTTAGTTGTTAGTAAAAAATCAGAAAAAAATACAAAAATAGTATAGGTTTATAATTATTTTTCACCTAAAAATAATGTCATAAAAATTATATTAGAATTGTCTTTCTTTTATTTTGACTAAATGTTAGTTATTTAATTTCCTTTTTTCAATTATTCGATCTTTATATTTTGTTTACGCCATAAAAATTATATTACAATTGTCTTTCTTTTATTTTTGATTAATTGTTAGTTGTTTAATTTCTTTTCGATTATTTAATCTTTATATTTTTATTTGCGTCTAATCCAAGGGAAAGTATTAATTTGTTAACTTCATGTCATCAAATATCTAATACGATCATGCGAATACCCTCATTCATTTTTGCTTGTTTACTATTTTGCCAAACTTAAGATAATTTTCCCAAAAGACTCAATTTTAAACTCACACCTTTTAAGTCAAAACTTCGACACTAGGTCGTCGTATCTTCAAAAAATCTCATCTGTACCCATTTAACTAAACAAACAATTTTAACCAAAAAACAGATATTTCAAAAGGTTCCTGCGGAGTACCGCAGATGCACTGGGTGCTAATACCTTCCCATTGTATAACCAACCCCCGAACTCTCGATCTCTTTCAAAAACGCATTGTATTTTTATTACTTTTAAGTATTATTTTACATTGCATATTTTAGGGTTTTATTTCGCTCTTTTCCCTTTTCCCTTGGAAATAATAAAGCGCGGTGGAGACTCTTTCTTTGGTGAGTCAAGTTAATTAATAGCTTGATCTCCGATTTTCACCGCTACAGAATTGGCGACTCTGCTGGGGAAAGATTGACCTCTTGCTGGTCCATCCCTAAGTGGGTTAAGCCTAATTTGTTTTATCTGTTTTATCATTATTTGATTGTTTGATTATATGTTATATTATGATTATTTGGGTGTTGATAATATTTACAAAGGACAAGTCCTATACCCGGACTAAGTTACACTTAGGAATAGGACGGGCGGTATAGTCATGTTAACTTTGAGGGAGTAATCCCGAAGAAGGAGGCATGAGATCCCCCACTCAGTGGAAGGCCCTTTTGAACGTAATATTTGTTTACTGAGTAATCGGGAAGACATTATTATTTTCGACCTGGGAGCTAGAGAAGCCGGGAACCGTAGAACCCTAACCCATCTTGGCCTTTTAGGTGTAGCGCGGAGATTATAACAGAGTAATCCGGAAGTAATTGTTACGCGATGCTACGCTCGGATGAGTTTCTCTTGAGAATATTGCTGATTATTGAGTAATCAAGATGTTGGTAATATCCGAAGGAGGAATGTAGACTCCGGGAACTTTTAGAACCTTGTTCTACAGGTGTGATTAAACCGTTAGTACATACCTTGGGGGTGCTCTTTACCTTTGACTCCATGCTCGTGACGTTGAACCTTTCAACTTTATTTGTGACCTTGCTTGTGGTTGTTGCATAGCCATGCATTCATGCATCCATAAAACCCTTTTCACTTGACTTTCAAGGAATTTTGAGGTCTTCCTTTGTAGACATCACAAGTTTCGTCAAGCTCAATGGATCTTGGGTGTTGATAGGGTGAAAACCCTAATCCACCAAAATGGATGATTGATCTTGATGATAACTTGATCAAAACTTTGATCCAATTCAAAATTCATCTTCTATCTTCACACTTTGATGTTTACAACTTAATATCTTGAGTTCCTTGAAAATCAAATAAAAACTCTCTTTTGCATGTCATACATCATCCTACATTTTTTTGTTTCACTTTCAAAGGTCATTTCCAAGTCTTAATTTTTTCCTTTGGTCTCACCAGTACGACACTCGCGCTAAGAGGACAATGGAGAATATCAAGCAAGACGTTTCTGAACTCCGTAGAGAGATGACTATTTTGAAGGCTAGTATGGAGCACTTAACTGGTTTGGTTGAAATTCTGGTTGCCGCCCAAGTCAATCCTTCTAGGAGGGAGGAAGCGATGATAAAAGTATTCACTGAAACTCTAAAATCATTCTCTCATGAGAAGATGATGGTTAATGCACCTAATGACTTTCCTGACAAGGCGAATGTGGGAGTGCGTCTAGAAGAAGATGTTGGGAAGGGATGTTCATATGAAGATGGTAGCTCAGCTAATGGTGTGAAGAAGTTTGATAATAACTTTTCCAAGAAGAGAACCATAGGAAGAAATATTCATCGTCAAAATCATCATGTTCCTCCTATTCGTCAACAAAATCAGCAAGTTCCTAATCAGAGGAAAACCCAGTTTGATCCAATTCCAATTACCTATACAGAGTTGTTCCCTATCCTGATGCAGAGGAATTTGGTTCAGACCCGACCTCCACCGAAGGTTCCTAAGAAGATACATTGGTACTATAAAGCTGATTTGACTTGTACCTTTCATCAAGGTGCTTCTGGGTATGACTTGGAGGGTTGCTTTGCTTTGAAGATCGAGGTTCAGAAGTTGGTCAGAAGTGGTATCTTGTCATTCAAGGACGTTGGTTTTGAAGTTCAAATCAAGCATGTGCCGAAGAGTAAACATGATTGATGGTCACTTTGAGTTTTGAATGATGTTTTCGGTAATTCAAGTCCAAATGGAAAGCCTTCCCAGATTATTAACTTATTTCTGCTTTTTGTAATTTTTCTTGTTTATCAAAACATTGTTTGCATGTAAGAACTTGTTTGCATCTGAATGATTATCTTAATACAGTGAGTATGTTTGTCTTGAAGAAATTCATTTGTTTTACTCATATTTGTTTTCAAAATTTAAATTGCTTTTGCACTATGATACCAAATCGTTGCTCATTCTCTTGCCTAGGCAGAGATTGAAGGGAGGATGATGATCTAAAGAACACAAAATCTCTGGTTGCATGCTTTTGGATAAAATCTTGCTGATGACGTACAGGCATTGTTTCAAATCCCTAAACACTAGAGATATAAGGAAGATAATCCCTTGCTAACCCCTTTTGAGCCTTTGAAGCAGAAGTTTCTTTTCTATACGAAAAAACCTTGAATTTTAACCTGGGGCCGGGTAGTTTTTAGTTAATCTGACTGAGTGTTCAAAATTCATAAGGAAGATGTTTTTTGAAGAGAAACTACGAGGGATATCCTTAATGTATAATGAATCTAGAGGATGTGGAACCACAATGTTATCCCTCATTCATCAAGAAACGAGGCAATCACAATCCTCTCAACAAGCAAAGACAAGCTAATGTCACACATTTTGTTCAAAAAGTCAAAAATCAAGAAAAAGAAAAGCCTGCTAAGTCAAAAAACATGAAAACGTGTGACTTAGGCAAAATTAAGGCATCCCGCTGGACTATCAATTCAAAAGAATTAGTTCAGGCAAAAGTTAGGGAAAATAAAATCGCAAAGAAAAGGACTGCAAAGAAAAGTCCTCAGCAAAGAACAAATTGGTGACTACAAACACGAAGACATGAGGGTGGTTTCTACTCCGAAATCCTCGTCGTTTCCTTAACCGTCACAAAATCCTTTTGAGAGATGAACACTCATGTTGAATTAACTGAACATAGGGTTGGAGAACATCATGAAGAATGGGTGGGCACCAAATATTTTGAGCCTTAAAATCTTTTTTCTAAAAAACCATGAACCAGACCACGTTACAACCTTCAAAAGTCCTAATTGAAGCAAGGTGATTTTGAAAGCATACTTCAATGAGATAGTGTTCCTGACTCCCATGAATGTTCTAAATAGTTATGTTGGTATCATATGTTTTTTCCTATGCAAAAATAAATGATGCTCTAACTCGCAAAATTTGTGCGATATCTTTTCAAAATCTTCAAGACTTACATAACTGTTGCATTAGAATTTTCATTCTCATAATAAAATTTTCTAACTGCAAAACATTTGTTTGATATCAAGGAAGCTCACATATAAGCACTAGTGATGAGTTTATTCTTTTAAGGCTTGAAACTATGTCGAGTAATTGGCGAATCATTTCAAGAAAAAAATCATATCCAGGGGCATGTCACCTGAAGACCGTAAGCATGAACATGTTGCTTCTCCCAGTTAATGCTTTCCCAACTTGTTTACCCTTTATTGGGGAAAAATTTGAAGACTTTGTTGTGCCAACTACAGTCAATCCGGGGCAATCACGTAAAGATTTGATGAATCTCTCTAAGAGTTTGAAGACACCAGAGCATGGTGAATGCCAGGTCTTTTGTAAAATCCTCTTGAGACGATTTCTCCTTATCAACCAGATAGCTTGGGGCATTCTAGAAGTGAAGTTATTCGCAAGAATGGTCATGCAACATGCAGCTTATCAGCAGTAAACTCGGGGCATCCAAAATTAATCCCAGGGGCAATCCATATTTGTGATATATATTGCACACATTATCAGAGGGTGGTGTTCCCAGTATCTCCAGCTAAGCAAGACTTCTTTCCAGCTGAAACTTTGTTCGTGTTGTTATCCTTTCAATGGATTGTTTGCAATAGAAGACTGGACTTTGGGTTTTCTACCTGAAAATATCTTCCTCTCCATAGATATTTAAGCCTTGTAAAAGGACCTTGCTCCAATGATGGCTTTTGTTTTTATCTCCAGTAATGTTACCA